AACACTCGAGTTATGGAACACTACTGCAGTCCAGAAGTGGATGAAAAACCAGAACTTTCCACTTATTAGGACATGCTTATAAGAGGGCAGCGTATCTATCCCTCCCCACCCTCGCCCCCACCTTTCCCGCCGAAATAGGGCCCCTGAATCGACAGGGAGCCATTTTCAATATTCAGCAAACTACAGAAAAGACACACTCAATGTAGTACCTTGGTGCCATGTTCAATATACAACAACTTCTAGTACAGAAATGTCATGGTCAATAAACAACAAATCTTCATTACATATATATTTAAATATACAGGAAACTATGTAACAGCCATGTTCATTATACAACAAACTACAGCGATGTGTTCAACGTTTAACAAACCACCAAGCTTAGATGCGGATATCGCAAGATGGAGGGGAAGCCAAGCTTGGAGCTTATCTCTTCCATTTACAAGAAAATCTCGCACCCAGATCACGCGCAGCCATTACCGCGAGATCAAGGGAACTCACCCTGGGAGCCCACAGACTTATCCACAATACTTTTCCTAGATTAGACAAACACGGCACTTTATCCACACAAATGTGTGGAGCTCTGCCAGAAATCCCGCGTTGTCATGGAGTTTCAGAGTTCAAAGCTTTTCAGGACACACTGGCTTTTTTTTTTAAAGCGTATTTCTGCTGTTGTGACGCAAGTTTGCAGGTGCCCTGAATTACTGAGGTCGTCAGATCCTTGTCGTTTCTTGTTTAGCAAAAATGTTAATTCTTAGGTTTATCTGGTTAAGTCAGTAAAGGGCACGTTCCACGCCTATGGTGTCTTAAATATAAGATGCTGTTTCCATCTTGTTTAGAGGCCAGACAACATTTGATAGGTATGATGCAGACGTGCTGCACAGCGCGTGGCGGTGTTAAAGGGCTCGTATTAATCAAGAAATCTCTTGGAGGTCACCCTAGCAGAAGGTTCCCAACTCGAAGTTTGGCCAATTTAGATAGAAAGTATCGACGTTTATTACGAAATCGGAGTGTATCTGCTTGGGGGGCTAGGAACCAGCAGTTTGCACACAAAAAGCCAGATTTGTAAAATGAATATGCCCGCCACACTCACAACATGGAATAAGGCCAACTTTCTCCCAGAGTTTTCAGCCGGTGTACGTAAATAAGAAGAAGGAGAAGAAAAAGAAGCATAAGAAGAAGATGAAAAAGAAGAAGAAGAAGCAGAAGAAAAAGAAGAAGAAGAAGAAGAAGAAAAAGAAGAAGAAGAAGAAGAAGAAGAAGAAGAAGAAGAAGAAGAAGAAGAAGAAGAAGAAGAAGAAGAAGAAGAAGAACAAGAAGAAGAAGAAGAAGAAGAAGAAGAAGAAGAAGAAGAAGAAAAAGAAGAAGAAGAAGAAAAAGAAGAAGAAGAAGAAGAAGAAGAAGAAGATAATGAAAAAGAAGAGAAGTAGGAAGAAGAAGAAGAAGAAGAAGAAGAAGAAGAAGAAGAAGAAGAAGAAGAAGAAGAAGAAGAAGAAGAAGAAGAAGAAGAAGAAGAAGAAGAAGAAGAAGAAGAAGAAGAAGAAGAAGAAGAAGAAGAAAAGAAGAAAACGAAAGAGAAGAAAACGAAAAAAAGAGGAGGAAGAAGAAGAAGAAGATAATGAAAAAGAAGAGAAGTAGGAAGAAGAAGAAGAAGAAGAAGAAGAAGAAGAAGAAGAAGAAGAAGAAGAAGAAGAAGAAGAAGAAGAAGAAGAAGAAGAAGAAGAAGAAGAAGAAGAAGAAGAAGAAGAAGAAGAAGAAGAAGAAGAAGAAGAAGAAGAAGAAGAAGAAGAAGAAGAAGAAGAAGAAGAAGAAGAAGACGAAGAAGACGAAGAAGAAGAAAGAACGACCTTGAATAAATTTATCACAGGTTTTAATGACGTTTTTCCGGTATCGTCATTTCTCAACATCATGATGGAAGGTAAAGGACACGGTAACGTTGTTGTTTTTAAATATCTCTGGTTAAATTTAGACGACAGCAGACGAGAGGGAAGCAGAAACACTGACATCTATACCATGGTAGACAAAGGCAAGAGTGATACGACTGGATAACTTCCGTTTTATCCGCTGCTGGAAAATGTAGCATAGATGGCATACCAGCAGGACGAATCCCGGACACGCTGCTCAGTCTCATAAGAAGTTTAAACTGCAGCTGCCCTGGCGATTTACTAGTACGGGGTGTCCTGCATCCCTGGCGATTCACTAGTGCGGGGTGACTTACAGCACTGACGATTCACTAGTGCGGGGTAACTTACAGCCCTGACGATTCACTAGTGCGGGGTGACTTACAGCCCTGACGATTCACTAGTGCGGGGTGTCCTGCATCCCTGACGATTCACTAGTGCGGGGTGACTTACAGCCCTGACGATTCACTAGTGCGGGGTGTCCTGCATCCCTGACGATTCACTAGTGCGGGGTGACTTACAGCCCTGACGATTCACTAGTGCGGGGTGACTTACAGCCCTGACGATTCACTAGTGCCGGGTGACCTGAAGCCCTGGCGATTCATTAGTACTGGGTGACTTGCAGCCCTGACGATTCCCTAGTGCGGGGTGACCTGCATCCCTGACGATTCACTAGCGTGGGGTGACCTGCATCCCTGATGATTCACTAGCGTGGGGTGACCTGCAGCCCTGGCGATTCACTAGTGCTGGATGACCTGAAGCCCTGGCAATTCACTAGTACAGTGTGACTTGAAGCACTGGCGATTCACTAATGTGGGGTAACCTGCAGCCCTTGGTGATTCACTATTGTGGGGTGACCTGAAACCCTGGCGATTCACTAGTGCGGGGTGACCTGCAGCCCTTGGCGGGAAAGGACATTGACTGGGCTGGCGAAGAAGTGTAGCAAGAATGATAATAACCAGTTCCGTTATCTTCTACACTTTGATACACCCAGGTGCTGTTGATGAGTTAGGTGTGGTTCTCCATGAGAGCGGCCCACACATGACCAGCTAGCTCTATGTTTGTTCCCTGCGAAGCATACACAGTATGACTGCTGAACATCTATCACGGCTTTCAGGTTCTCCATGAGAGCGGCCCACACATGACCAGCTAGCTCTATGTTTGTTCCCTGCGAAGCATACACAGTATGACTGCTGAACATCTATCACGGCTTTCAGGTTCTCCATGAGAGCTGCCCACACATGACCAGCTAGCTCTATGTTTGTTCCCTGCGAAGCATACACAGTATGACTGCTGAACATCTATCACGGCTTTCAGGTTCTTCATGTGGCTGCTACCAAAACCAATGCTGGTGTTTGTGGATCCCACTCTTATCTGCTAAATTGCTTCTTCTCATGCTTCTCTTTCACGGGCTGTAAACTCTGATGGAAAGTTCTGGACTTTGCTTTCGTTCTAGAACTTGAGTTTAGTGTGCACATTCGTTTTACGATTCTGTGTTATTCGTATGCAGACTGTTGGTTTAGGCGCTAATTTTTCATAGTTTGATAATTTGAGCAACGGATCAACATCATGGCACAAGGGCAGCAACCCACAAGTGTCCCGTTGTACTTTCAACTCAAGCCTGAGTCTGGGGTTTCTCAACGCAGTGCACGAACTCCGTAGCAGGATCCTGACAATATTTTAGGTATATTTTTTAATTCAAATTTTGCCCAGGCGGCCTTTATGCCATCTTTTTTCTTTTTCAAACTGCCAAGGAAATTTTTTAACGTTCTCATCAATACACACGGGTGTCCGAACTTACTACCCAGAGACCAGGGAAATTATTAGAAGTCTACGTGAAAAATCCTAGCCTTCACCGGGGCTTGAACCCGGCACCTCCAACAATAAAGGAGGGCGCCATGCTTTAAGACCACTCAATCCCCCCCCCCTCTCTCCCCATTTCTTTTTAGAGAGAATCGACATTCGACGCCTTTACTTCCAATGACGTTTGTGTGGCATTGTTATGCAAAACTGAGCTTTTGCTCAGTTGTACAAACTTATAGACGGACACGTAATCTCAAGGGTGGAGACTGTCCTCGTCATCTGTCCATGTTGTCTTGACCCCTCCCTTGCTCGTGACTGAGATGACCACCACATACTGACCCGCCCTTGCTCGTGACTGAGATGTCCACCACATACTGACCCGCCCTTGCTCGTGACTGAGATGTCCACCACATACTGACCCGCCCTTGCTCGTGACTGAGATGTCCACCACATACTGCAGACGTTCAATGATCTTTTCTGAGATTTTGATGAATAAACATCGGGCAAGCAAGACGCCCGTTTTTGTTATGTTCTCAGTTAACTGTATTCCTCTTCAAAAATATATAAGTAAATAAATAGGTAAATAAATAAATAAATAAATAAACAAACATGGCATAGTAATGGATAAGTTAACTCTTGAGATGAAATGTAAAACTGATTTGGTAGTTGTGTTACCATCATTTCTGTACACAAGCAGAAGAACAGTGTCCAGTGCACAAGCAGAAGAACCTAATCTCTTCTACTGAGGCATGTACCAGATGGAGGATGCCTTAAAGTGCACCCATCCTTGGTGTTCTGACTTTATTCTACTAATAATATTCCCCCGTGCCATCTCTTAGACTAGATTTACTCTTCGTAGTCTGTCCCAGCCTACTCCCCCAGCCCACTTTCCCAGCCCACTCTCACATTCCACTGAAACATCCCTCTCTCACAGAGTACTCTCCCAGCCCACTCTCCCAGCCCACTCTCACATCCCACTCAGATCAGACATCCCTATCTCACGGAGTACTCTCCCAACCCACTCTTCCAGCCCACTCTCACAGCCCACTCTCACATCCCACTCTCACATCCAAATCTCACAGCCCACTCAAACATCCCTATCTCACGAAGTACTCTTCCAGCCCACTCTTCCAGCCCACTTTCCAAACCCACTCTCCCAGCTCACTCTCACAACCCACTCTCACATCCCACTCAGACATCCCTCTCTCACGGAGTTCTCTCCCAGCCCACTCTAAAATCCCACTCAGAAATCCCTCTCTCACGGAGTTCTCTCCCAGCCCACTCTAAAATCCCACTCAGACATCCCTCTCTCACGGAGTTCTCTCCCAGCCCACTCTAAAATCCCACTCAGATATCCCTCTCTCACGGAGTACTCTCCCAGCCCATTCTCACATCCCACTCAGACATTCCTCTCTCATGAACTACTCTCCCAGCCCACTAAAAGGCAACGCCACTGTATGGGGAATGACTCGCCAGAAGAAGGCAGTCACAACAGTGCTGTGAAATCGGTCCATGCTGTGATAGTGTCGCCTCGACTGTTGTCTCTACTGTTGTCCATTGTTTACCTTGTCAGTTCACTTTAACTGTTTTTTTTTTTTCAGAACAAGATTGAGAGACTCATCATTCAAGTTTTATGTGTGCACAACATTGTCATCGGCACAAGTACGTGTTCAAATAGTCAATAATGCACTGCCCTAATCTACATACACTCACCCGTGTGGGTTCCCGGACCTCATTGTGGGGGGCGGGGGGATAGGGGGGGGGGTGGTGGTGGAGGAGGACAAAAATAGATCTACTGCCTACCTAAAGGCATGACGGAAGAGTCGACTGTGTGCTTCTTTCGAAGTCAGAATGCATCTGCCTCAGAGACAAGACACCAACAATCTGCATACAAAGGAATCAAATCCGTTAAACGGATGTGCACACAGCACTCAGGTTCTGGAAGAGGACTAGAGTCCAGAAGTTGACCAACAGTCATAATTTTCCACTAGAGTTTATAGCTAGTGTGGGCAAAGAAGAGGAAGAGTTTTACCCACACATGATAACAGTGGCTTCATACTGCCTATTGCTTTATTTAATCTTCATACTGCAATCCCGTTTTACCGTGTCGTATCACTGCATCATCATCATTATCATCATCAGGTGCCTTGCCGACTGGCGTCGGCGATCATGCCTCTCCACAATCTGCGTTCTCCTGCAGCATGTATCAGTTCGTGTGCTGACACACCTCCATGCCATGCAACAAGACTGTCGAAAATCTTCTCTCGTTGTCTTCCTCTATCCCTCCTTCCACACATCTTTCCAGTGGTCACAACATGTTCCATTTTCCCTCTTCTCATAACATGGCCGAAAAATGATGACTGTCTCCTTCTAATGTCTGTGATAAGTTGTCTTCGGACTTTTTCCGCCTCTTTCAAAACCTCTTGGTTGATCTTTTTTTTTTTTTGCTGTCCAAGGTATTTTAAGCATTCTTCTGTAAAACCACATCTCTAAGGCCTCAAGAAATGTTTTGGCCTACCTATTGATTTTCCAGGACTCACAGCCATATGTTAAAACTGGGTGTATGCAGCAAGCAAGAATTCTTTTTCTAACTCTCAATGACAAGGATATATGGTACAAAATGTTTTTCATTTTATAAAATGCAGTTTTTGCCTGTCTGATCTCAACACTGCATACCTGTTTTATATTGTCATTATACAGTCTACCTGTCTTACACTGTCAACCTGCCTACACACATACTTACCGATCTGCCTACGCACACACTTCTCTTACACTTCTGGCAACATATGTACTCATTTACCTACTTAACTACCTAATGGGTTACCTACCAACATAGATACCAAATTACCTAGTGAACTATCTAACGCACATGTCGATAAACAACCATGACTACCTACTTGCCTACCTACCTACTCGCCTACCTAACGCATACCTATATACTTACCTGGGCATCTATACATGTACTTATTCTTTTTGAAATTGTTGGCACTTGTCCGTCTTTGGAAACGAAAGTGTTCGATAGTTAAGAAGGACAGAACTTTTCTAAACACTAACCCACCTATTAGCATTCAAACATCATTATCTTGTCTGTGTGTCTGTCTGACTGTGTACTGGTACAGCGCTGTACATAGATTCCGTACACTCAGACTTCTGAAAACATGACATGTTCTGATCAACTTGGCGCTTGATTCCCTGGAACAGACATGTCACAAGTGTACTACACGAAAGAGTGGGACCTCGCCCAGGAGAGCCTCAAGTCTATCATCAACCACTCGGAGCGACCCCTCAAACCTGAGCCTCTAGCCAAGACCCTGAAAGATGCCTTCAACCGAGTCTGTTTCAGGTAAGACGCTTCCAAAACTGCGTATGATACTTTTTACAGCAGAACATAAGGGAGGCAGGCAAGGGGAAGACCAAGAAAGAGACGGATTAATGATGTAAATGAAACCAGCAAGGAGATGAAGAAATCCTTTCCCCAAGCCACCGGAGAAGCTCTAGACAAATACTTAAAACAACGACACTGGGCTACAGCCTGCTATCACTGAGACGACACTGGACTACGACTTAGGATTACTGAAACGACAAGGAAGAACAAAAAGCTTCCAAAATGAGTTTCTTCGGTCTCTGACCTTTGCCCTAATAAATTTATATAGAAGTAGAGAAACGGACCCTATCTTGATATGTCTGCTGTGCAACGGATTTATGATGCTAGAATTCTGTTACAGAGACCAACCGGCGTTTGGTGGCTGATGTGGACAAGATCACACAGAGCGCCTTTATCTCTCACAGCATTACCTGGTACCCATTATAGGTGGGGTGGGTCGATGTGGCAGCCAAAGTCAGTGAAAAACAACAACAACAAACCAACAAAAAAGCCCTTCACAATGTGAACGTCAAACCTTGGGGCTAGCTGCTCTCCGACCTATCCTAGCCTGCATCTGTATCTTCCTGTGACTTGAGGTTAGTTGCGTATTCTTTTCAGGACGTTGCAGAACCAACCCCAGCAGCCCCTGGCTGTTGTGTGGTTTCTGTGGTTTCTCTAGGCAAATTTACGTCCAGTAGTTTGCATTGCCCCCTGATACCACGGTCAAAACCAACGAAAGGCGCATGGTCCGCAGTTCGGATCGAACCCGGCATTACGAAGCGTTCGAATCGACTTTGCCACAGAGCCGACACATCTTCCTGCACACCAGTCTATTTGCCTGTTTACTGTTGCAGTTCAGTCTGACTGTCTTTAGTCTTACTTTCTGTGTCTATCTCTGTATCTCTCTGTTCATCACGGTATGTCACAGTCAACGTGCATGTCAGTCTGTCCATGTTTATTCTTTCATTGTTTGTATGTCTCTGCATCCCCCTGTACATCCATCTGTGGCTGTGCTGGTCAGTAGATCTGTATTTAATCTTCCTATCTTTTTGTCAACCCAAGTCTGTGTATCAATGTATCTACTTGTCTGTAGCATGTTTCCCGAAGTGTTTGTTTCCCAAATTCGCCCGGCGGTCCGGGAATTTGTGTGGTACTATGGCAGTGGTATCTTCTCCTTCTTCTTCTTCTTCTTTCGTTCGCCTGAAATAAGTTGTCTATATCAGCAATTTTGTCTCTTGTATAAATTTCACTGTCGTTGTTAGTTCATTCAGTGGTTCATAGAGTTTACGTTCCACTGTTGTTCTTTTTTGGCCAAAAGGTTTGCCTCAATGTGTCAAATTCGGTGCAGTCCTGGAGTACATGCTCTGCTGTCTGGGGCACCTTTCCACAGGTGCAAATGGCTGATCCACCTATCTTTAATTTTGTGTACATCTGGTTACGTAATCGGTTGTGCCCCGTTCTGAGGCGGAGGATAATGGCTTGTTCTGGTCTGTCCATAATAAAATAGTCGTCTTGTGCTGGGGCTGGTGGATTCCTGATCGATTTAATGATTCTTTTCTTTTGGTGGTATGTGACTGGTACATCCAGCTGCACTTTTGTCGCACCACCCCCCCCCCCCTTGCCAGTTGATCAGCTTTCTCATTTCCAGGCACACCACAATAAGACGGTATCCACTGCATTACGACTCTTCTCTGAAGGCTGAGTTGTGTCAGCAGTGTTTGCAATTCTGGTAGTTTCCTAGACTGGAGTGCTTTAAGTACGGATTTAGCATCTGTCAGCATTACCACAGACTGTGAGCCAAGATTGGTATTTAGCATCTGTCAGCATTACCACAGACTGTGAGCCAAGATTGGTATTTAGCATCTGTCAGCATTACCACAGACTGTGAGCCAAGATTGGTATTTAGCATCTGTCAGCATTACCACAGACTGTGAGCCAAGATTGGTATTTAGCATCTGTCAGCATTACCACAGACTGTGAGCCATACCGTCTGGCTGAAGTGTCTCCAGAAGATGGTACAGTAAATACCGTCTGGCTGAAGTGTCTCCAGAAGATGGTACAGTAAATACCGTCTGGCTGAAGTGTCTCCAGAAGATGGTACAGTAAATACCGTCTAGCTGAAGTGTCTCCAGAAGATGGTACAGTACATACCGTCTGGCTGAAGTGTCTCCAGAAGATGGTACAGTACATACCGTCTGGCTGAAGTGTCTCCAGAAGATGGTACAGTAAATACCGTCTAGCTGAAGTGTCTCCAGAAGATGGTACAGTAAATACCGTCTGGCTGAAGTGTCTCCAGAAGATGGTACAGTAAATACCGTCTGTTGAAGTGTCTCCAGAAGATGGTACAGTAAATACCGTCTAGCTGAAGTGTCTCCAGAGGATGGTACAGTACATACCGTCTAGCTGAAGTGTCTCCAGAAGATGGTACAGTAAATACCGTCTAGCTGAAGAGTCTCCAGAAGATGGTACAGTAAATACCGTCTGGCTGAAGTGTCTCCAGAAGATGGTACAGTAAATACCGTCTAGCTGAAGTGTTTCCAGAAGATGGTACAGTAAATACCGTCTGGCTGAAGTGTCTCCAGAAGATGGTACAGTACATACCATCTGTTGAAGTGTCTCCAGAAGATGGTACAGTAAATACCGTCTAGCTGAAGTGTTTCCAGAAGATGGTACAGTAAATACCGTCTGGCTGAAGTGTCTCCAGAAGATGGTACAGTAAATACCGTCTGGCTGAAGTGTCTCCAGAAGATGGTACAGTAAATACCGTCTGGCTGAAGTGTCTCCAGAAGATGGTACAGTAAATACCGTCTAGCTGAAGTGTCTCCAGAAGATGGTACAGTAAATACCGTCTGGCTGAAGTGTCTCCAGAAGATGGTACAGTAAATACCGTCTAGCTGAAGTGTCTCCAGAAGATGGTACAGTAAATACCGTCTGGCTGAAGTGTCTTCAGAAGATGTTACAGTAAATACCGTCTGGCTGAAGTGTCTCCAGAAGATGGTACAGTACATACCGTCTGGCTGAAGTGTCTCCAGAAGATGGTACAGTAAATACCGTCTAGCTGAAGTGTCTCCAGAGGATGGTACAGTAAATACCGTCTGGCTGAAGTGTCTCCAGAAGATGGTACAGTAAATACCGTCTAGCTGAAGTGTCTCCAGAAGATGGTACAGTACATACCGTCTGGCTGAAGTGTCTCCAGAAGATGGTACAGTAAATACCGTCTGGCTGAAGTGTCTCCAGAAGATGGTACAGTAAATACCGTCTAGCTGAAGTGTCTCCAGAAGATGGTACAGTAAATACCGTCTAGCTGAAGTGTCTCCAGAGGATGGTACAGTACATACCGTCTGTTGAAGTGTCTCCAGATGATGGTACAGTACATACCGTCTGTTGAAGTGTCTCCAGAGGATGGTACAGAACATATCGTCTGTTGAAGTGTCTCCAGAGGATGGTACAGTACATACCGTCTGTTGAAGTGTCTCCAGAAGATGGTACAGTACATACCGTCTGTTGAAGTGTCTCCAGAAGATGGTACAGTACATACCGTCTGTTGAAGTGTCTCCAGAGGATGGTACAGTGCATACCGTCTGTTGAAGTGTCTCCAGAGGATGGTACAGTACATACCGTCTGTTGAAGTGTCTCCAGAGGATGGTACAGTACATACCGTCTGTTGAAGTGTCTCCAGATGGTAGTACATACCGTCTGTACAGTACATACCGTCTGTTGAAGTGTCTCCAGAAGATGGTACAGTACATACCGTCTGTTGAAGTGTCTCCAGAAGATGGTACAGTACATACCGTCTAGCTGAAGTGTCTCCAGAAGATGGTACAGTACATACCGTCTGACTGAAATGTCCCGAGAAGATTGCAAAGTTCACATCTCATACAAATCATATTCATTCCCACCCTATGCTACCCCAGTGCCAGACGTGGTCCTCAAAAAAAAAAAAAAGAATATTAGTTACCAGTGGAAATGAAGTGTCTGAGAAAGACTGTAGGAGTGACCAGAAGAGACAGAATCAGGAAAGAGGTCATACTAGATAAAGTCGGCACAGAACCAATTCTAAATTACATAGAAGACATCAAATGGTTTAGCCACTTGCAGAAAATGCCTTCTGATGCTGTGCCACCAATACATACACGAAAAGAGGAGAGGGACGTCGAGCAAGAGGTATACGAAGAGCAATATGGGAAGATAACATCAGATAAACTCAACAGCATCACAGTGTGCCATTGGTTGAAGCAGCCAGAAGAGCAGGAAGCAGGACCTTATATCTCCCCTGACACCGGAAGTGGTAAAAGAGGACGTCAGGAGGAGGAGGAAAAGAGTTCACATACGAGAACAATCTAGAACCTATGGGAGGCTAACACTTTTGCCTGGAAAGACGGAAAGGTACCAGTCATCAGGGGAGGCTAACACTATTGCCTGGAAAGACGGAAAGGTGCCAATCAGCATGGGAGGTTAACACTATTGCCTGGAAAGACGGAAAGGTGCCAATCATCATGGGAGGTTAACACTATTGCCTGGAAAGACGGAAAGGTGCCAATCATCATGGGAGGCTAACACTATTGCCTGGAAAGACGGAAAGGTGCCAATCATCATGGGAGGCTAACACTATTGCCTGGAAAGACGGAAAGGTGCCAATCATCAGGGTAGGTTAACACTAACGCCTGGAAAGACGGAAAGGTGCCAATCATCAGGGGAGGCTAACACTATTGCCTGGAAAGACGGAAAGGTGCCAATCATCAGGGGAGGCTAACACTATTGCCTGGAAAGACGGTAAGGTGCCAATCATCAGGGGAGGCTAACACTATTGCCTGGAAAGACGGAAAGGTGCCAATCATCATGGGAGGCTAACACTATTGCCTGGAAAGACGGAAAGGTGCCAATCATCATGGGAGGCTTACACTTTTGCCTGGAAAGACGGAAAGGTGCCAATCATCATGGGAGGCTAACACTATTGCCTGGAAAGACGGAAAGGTGCCAATCATCAGGGGAGGCTAACACTATTGCCCGGAAAGACGGAAAGGTGCCAATCATCATGGGAGGCTAACACTATTGCCTGGAAAGACGGAAAGGTGCCAATCATCAGGGGAGGCTAACACTATTGCCTGGAAAGACGGAAAGGTGCCAATCATCATGGGAGGCTAGCACTATTTCCTGGAAAGACGGAAAGGTGCCAATCAACAGGGGAGGCTAATGCTGGAAATGACCTACAGAGAGTGAAACGCGAGCAGTCCGATGTTTTGAAAAGATTCCGTTAGTCAGTTTACTGTAAGTATGCTGACTGTTTGGTTTCAACCGGCGACATTTTTCATATAGCATAAATCAGGCAAAATGTAAACTACATTGTTGTTTAAATTATAAAAGAAAACAAAAATGAAAGTTATCAGAACATGATTATTAACAGACTGCACGGCACATTTCAACAACATACGCCCGATGACTACTAAGTTGAAATATTATTAAATGTTGGGCACAACTTTTGGAACGGACTATAAAACACACGTGTAAACAACACAATACTCTCCAACCACAGATATGTCCAGTATATCAGTATCTACAAACAGCTGACCGCCTGCCTCGACAACATGGTGCACCCACAGAAGCGCCAACTCGTCAGTAAGTCAAACCAGATTCTCTTATCACCTCCGTTCTGTGTTTACCACTTGTCTCGTTGTTTGACCATTAACGCACAGCTGTGGCGATGACATTGCGTTTGAGTGTGGACATGGCGAGATAAAGTCCCGAGTTCAGTTCCTGTTAGTGATGGCGTCTTGTCCCAGGTTGTCAGAAATCAACATAACCTTGGAGAATAAACTAGCGGTTTTCAAAAGGCCTAGGTCATATCTGGGAGTCGCCGTGGCGTAGCGGAAGATCATGGGTTTAATCCCTGGCGGAGACAGACTTAAAAAAAAATTATTTTGGTTCCCAGGCGGACACAGCCTTGAGTGGGTACCAGGTTCAGCCCTGGAAAGTAAAGGCGACCGGCGTGATGCTGACTACATTACCCATCTTGTGCCGTTGGCCTATAAAATATAGGTCTAATCCTATATACCCAAACGCCTGAAAGGGGTCCTTTAATATGTCATATCTGGAAAGAAAAGGCGAGGAGAAAGTAAACTTTAATATAAACCATACTGTCTGGCACCGGGCAGCTCCAGGCCTCTAGCGTCTCAGGCAGTTGTCTTCTCTTGGATGACCTTCATCATAGCGACGACACAAAGACAATATTTGCCTTACAGAAAACCGGAGAACAATATAACTGGAATATCTTTGCAGTGGAACCCATAGGGACATAGAAATAAAGGAAGGACACCCTCCCTCCCCCGCCCCCCGCCCCCGCCCCCCCCCCCCAAAAAAAAAATCACACACACATAAAAAAGGAAGCTAGAGAGTAAAGTTAAAAAGATAGGGAAGACATGGGGAGAGCTGCATGCGATAGCAATGGATAGAGCGGCTTGGTGTGAGGTGGTTAAAGGTCTATGGTCTATTTGGGGTTAGAAAGGTAGAAGAAGAAGGAAGAGTTGTGGATTTTTCTTTTTATGTACGAAAAGTTATCAAACTAATTACCATGCATCGCTGCACATATGAACTGATTTCTAAACATTATCCATATGTGTGTGTCAATTATTGTATGACTTTTTTTTTTATGCGTAGACAATTTATCAGTTAAAAAACGATCAAAGAACATTGGTCGGTCAACGTTTAACATAAGGAAGATCCACTCGAGTTTCTGTCCCTATAGGATGAATTTATTTGACTATCGATGCAATCACAAATTATCCATCTGTCAGTAAATATATCCACGTATAGCTTAATGCATCCACCCATAAAACACCCAAACATCAGACATAAATCTATGCATAAACCCTTTCAGTGCAGCATTCGTCTCTTATCCGTTCTTCATTCAAGCAGTTTGCATATTCATCTACGGATGCTTGGATTCATGGTGTATATATATCTAACTCACCATCATCATGTGCTCTCTACATACTAGACAAATGTATCGAAGGCGTCACCGGGAGGATCATAGAGCTGCGGCACGAACTGTTTCGCATTAACATGAGCGAGTACGCCCCGTTCGGTCCCTTCTGTGTGGAGCAGCAGATACTGCCCTCTGACCTGGATATGGAACTTTCCAGAACGTTCCGGTACGATAAAGTGCAGGTATGTTGTACCTCCGACTTCGTCTCTCTTCTTCACTTTCACTGGCTGTAAACTACGACAGAAAATTCGGTACTATACTTTTGCTTACCCCAATGACGTCACAATGACGTCACGGTACAGTAAAATAATTTCCAGGGTGGTAAGATGAGGCTTTTCCCATTTTCAGAACGCGTCACAAGATAGGCCTGCTTTGCTTATGACGTGTTTTTTTCTGCGTCTTGTTGCAGTGTTCATCGGTGTTTGCCGCCGCGTCCGTCTTGTTCCAGCAGTCGCCATGAATTTCCTCTAATTAGTAGCATCTGTGCCTGAAGGAAGACCAGCATTGAATTCCTCCAACAGTAAAGTATTTTTCCAGGAACGAGACGTTGTAGAAACTACCATGAGATGGTGTTTTCGCTGTCGGAAAGACACGACCGTTGACGGTGTCGAAAGTCCACCTATCGGCACGGAACATGGCTGTAATTGTCGCGGCGGCTCCCGTACAGACAGATATTCTGTTTGTGTACCGTTGGTCTCATGACATGACAAGCTTTCCATTTTGCCAAGTAGAGCTGAGCATGTCGCCGAAGGCGACCGTGGAATGAAGCAACTACTTGTGGGAGGTTTGTGCCAAAGCATTGTTATTAAATCATGCAGTGATCGGCGGAGAGAACACCACTGTTGAAATCGATGTAAGTCTGTTTGCAAGACGAACCCTCCCCCCTTTCTTTTACGATTTCTGCGATTGCACATAAAGTTTACATACCCAATGTTTACAATTCAGAGGTGTTTTTTTTTAATTTGGTCACAGAGGGATTGAACGCGGTACATTTCATTTATAAAGTGGATTGATGCCGACTACGCTACACATTCACAAGACAAAAATAATTTGTCAACATGACCAGTATGGCACATCAGCCGATTGCGCACTAACAGACAAAAATATGCCACACCAAAAAGCAAGAAAACCAAACAACAGCACCCTTGCACACCTTGAAATAGTGGAGTGTCCAGTCAGATGTGGATTTCCCGTGGATACCGACTATTTGGTGTAAGATAGTACTAAATCCCCGACAATTCTAGTTGTTCGTCGACTTCTGTTCTGTGATCTTGCTCCATAACTTGAATTCAGCCTGTCATGTTGATGCTTTTCGACCTCGATAACAAAAATAAAAAAAAAATCCCCAGCTAGCCTCCTTTAACGATGCGCTTTATAGAAAAGCAGTGGATCTATCCCCCCACCGCCAACTCCAAGCCCCCACCCCCACGAACACACACGGGGGCACCCAACAACAACAATAGCAGCCCTAGGTGTTAGAACCCAGGCGATCAGTCCTTGATCATGTTGTAGAGGGGCTAACTGGTTCCCTCCAGGCTGTTCATAAATGCACGCGTCTGTAGGCCTGCCTGCTCGTGTGATGTGTGTCGATGTACTAGTGTATGGGTGTTTGTGTGTGATAATGTATATGCGTATATATGTGAATGCATGTGTGGAAGTGCATCTATGTGTGTGTGTTTGTGTGTGTGTTTGTGGGAGTCTGGATGCGTGTGTGGCTGTATATATGGGAGTGCATGTGTGGAAGTGCATCTATGTGTGTGTGTGTGTGTTTGTGTGTGGGAGTCTGGATGCGTATGTGGCTGTATATATGGGAATGCATGTGTGGAAGTGCATCTATGTGTGTGTGTGTGTAAGTCTGGATGCGTGTGTGGCTGTATATATGTGAAAGCATGTGTGAAAGTGCATCTATGTGTGTGTGTATGTGAGTGTATATATGTGTATGCATGTGTACGAGTCCACGTATGAATAGGGAGTGGTGTTTGCGTGTGTACTAGTGCGTGGGCGTATATAGTAGTTATTCGCATTGGTATGAAAGTGTGTATGAGTGTGTGTGCATGAACGGAAACGTATGAGTGTGTGCAATGAGCTGTATGTGTATGTATGGTTGATCGTCAATGCATGGTTGATTGTATATGTATCGCTGATTATGTATGTATGGATGATTGTGTACGCATATGTAATAGTGTATAAATGGGTGATAGTGTATGATAAATTACATGTCCATGTTTGGGTGTTAGTGAATGTTTGGGTGTTAGTGTATGTTTGGGTGTTCGTGTATATATGGGTGTTCGTGTATATCTGGGTGTCAGTGTATGTTTGGGTGTTAGTGAATGTTTGGGTGTTAGTGAATGTTTGGGTGTTAGTGAATGTTTGGGTGTTAGTGTATGTTTGGGTGTTAGTGTATGTTTGGGTGTTAGTGTATGTTTGGGTGTTAGTGTATGTTTGGGTGTTAGTGAATGTTTGGGTGTTAGTGAATCTTTGGGTGTTAGTGTATGTTTGGGTGTTAGTGTATGTTTGGGTGTTAGTGAATGTTTGGGTGTTAGTGTATGTTTGGGTGTTCGTGTATATCTGGGTGTTAGTGTATGTTTGGGTGTTAGTGAATGTTTGGGTGTTAGTGTATGTTTGGGTGTTCGTGTATATCTGGGTGTCAGTGTATGTTTGGGTGTTAATGTATGTTTGGGTGTTAATATATGTATGGGTGTTAATGCATGTATGTGTTTTTATGGGTGTATAGTATTACTAGTATTACTTACTGCCACTGTTGCGGATGCTGGAATTACTGCCAATGTTGCGGATGCTAGAATTACTGCCACTGTTGCGGATGGTAGAATTACTTACTGCCACTGTTGCGGATGGTAGAATTACTGCCACTGTTGCGGATGGTAGAATTACTGCCACTGTTGCGGATGGTAGTATTACTGCCACTGTTGCGGATGGTAGAATTACTGCCACTGTTGCGGATGGTAGTATTACTTACTGCCACTGTTGCGGATGGTAGTATTACTTACTGCCACTGTTGCGGATGGTAGTATTACTTACTGCCACTGTTGCGGATGGTAGTATTACTTACTGCCACTGTTGCGGATGGTAGTATTACTTACTGCCACTGTTGCGGATGGTAGTATTACTTACTGCCACTGTTGCGGATGGTAGTATTACTTACTGCCACTGTTGCGGATGGTAGTATTACTTACTGCCACTGTTGCTGACGATATTACTACTGCCACTGTTGCTGCTGCAAATACTACTTTAGCGGGCCGGGTTATATTGACTTCACAAATTGTGTCGACTTGTTTAAGTTAAAACATTTATTCAGACTGCACGCGCTGTAAGTCGGCTTAGAGGTACAACATCTCCATCTTATATGTTATATGTACATCTAAATTTTACAACTTCTCCACTTCACGTATTGTTTGTGTTTTTAGACTTTACAACATCTCCACTTCACGTTTTGTATGTATTTTTAGAGATTACAACATCTCCACTTCGTGTAATGTAGGTTCATCTAGAAGTTACAACATCTCCCCATAACGTATTGTGTGTGGTTCCAGACGTTACATCTCTACTTCTCGTATTTATGTACATCTAGGAGCTACAACATCTCCCCTTAACGTATTGTATGTACCTGCAGAACTTGTAACTTCAAAACATAATGTGTAGTATGTACATCTATAAGTTACAGTACCTCCACTTCACCTGCTGTATGTATATCTAGAATCTACAATATCTTTACTTAACGTATTGTATGTACCTGCAGAACTTGAAACTTCAAAACATAATGTGTAGTATGTACATCTATAAGTTACAGTACCTCCACTTCACCTGCTGTATGTATATCTAGAATCTACAATATCTTTACTTAACGTATTGTATGTACCTGCAGAACTTGAAACTTCAAAACATAATGTAAAGTATGTACATCTATAAGTTGCAGTATCTCCACTTCACCTGTTTTATGTACATATAGAAGCTAAAATATCTTCATTTAACGTATTGCATGTATATCTAGAAGCTACAACCTGTCCACTTCACATATTCTATGTACTTCAATAGGTTACACACATCTGCACTTCCCGTATTCTGTATAAATCAATAAGTGACAACATCTCCACTTCACGTATTCTATATACATCAGTAAGTTACAACATCTCCACTTCACGTATTCTATATGCATCAGTAAGTTACAACATCTCCGCTTCACGTATGCTAAATGCATCAGTAAGTTACAACATCTCCACTTCATGTATTCTATATGCATCAGTAAGTTAAAACATCTCCGCTTCACGTATTCCTTATGCACCAGTAAGTTACATCTCCACTTCACGTATTCTATATGCATCAGTAAGTTACAACATCTCCACTTCACGTATTCTATATGCATCAGTAAGTTACAACATCTCCACCTCACGTATTCTATATGCATCAGTAAGTTACAACATCTCCACCTCACGTATTACACGTGTTTCTAGAGATTACAGCGGAGAGCGGATTTGCTGGATTACATTTTAGTCTCCATGGGCAAATCCGACGATGTGGACTCGATGTCCGTCTCCACACAGATGAACCCGGACTTCAAGATCCAAGAGCCGTCCACAGCCTACAACAGCCAACAGCCTACACGGCCTCCGTCTGTCAGTGACCAAATTCAAATGGTATAATCTGCATTTATTGACCATCTTGTTCGATATAATCTGCATTTATTGACCATCTTGTTCGATATAATCTGCATTTATTGACCATCTTGTTCCATATAGTTTGCATGTATTGACCATCTTGTTCGATATAATCTGCATTTATTGACTACCTTCTCTGGCATAGTCTACATTTATTTACTATCTTGTTTGATATAGTCTGTATTAATTGATCGTCCTATATGTAGAGTCTGTATTCATTGATCGTCCTATATGTAGAGTCTGTATTCATTGATCGTCCTATATGTAGAGTCTGTATTCATTGATCGTCCTATATGTAGAGTCTGTATTCATTGATCGTCCTATATGTATAGTCTGTATTCATTGATCGTCCTATATGTATAGTCTGTATTCATTGATCGTCCTATATGTATAGTCTGTATTCATTGATCGTCCTATATGTATAGTCTGTATTCATTGATCGTCCTATATGTAGAGTCTGTATTCATTGATCGTCCTATATGTAGAGTCTGTATTCATTGATCGTCCTATATGTAGAGTCTGTATTCATTGATCGTCCTATATGTAGAGTCTGTATTCATTGGGCCAGCTTTTGTTGTGTAGTCTGCATTTACTGACCATCTTGTCTGATATAATCTGATTTACTGACCATCTTGTCTGATATAATCTGATTTACTGACCATCTTGTCTGATATAATCTGATTTACTGACCATCTTGTCTGATATAATCTGATTTACTGACCATCTTGTCTGATATAATCTGATTTACTGACCATCTTGTCTGATATAATCTGATTTACTGACCATCTTGTCTGATATAATCTGATTTACTGACCATCTTGTCGGACGGATTCTGCATTTTTTGACCATCTTGTCTGGTACAGTATGCATTCATTAATGATCATGTCTGGTAAAATCTATATTTATAGACAATCTTGTCTCGTATAGTCCGCATTCATTGACCATCTTTTCTGGTACAGCATGTGTTCATTGACAATCTTGTCTGGTATATTCTGCATTTGTTGACCCTCTTGTCAGGTGTTGTCTGCATTTGTTGACCATCTTGTCAGGTGTTGTCTGCATTTATTGACAGCTGCTGAAGACAGTGACGTTTATTTGAAATACCCGGACAGAGGCAAAACTGGTCACAGGAATGAAGCTATGATTGTAAATCAACAATGTGTTCAGGGGTGTCAGGACACGACTCCCATCTAACTGTAAATGAACATAAATACGTACATACATACATACATTCATACATACATACATACATACATACATACATACATACATACATACATACATACATACATACATACATACATACATACATACATACATACATACATACATACATACATACATACATACATACATACACACACATACATACATACATACATACATACATACATACATACATACATACATACATACATACATACATACATACATACATACATACATACATACATACATACATACATACATACATACATACATACATACATACATACATACATACATACATACATACATACATACATACATACATACATACATACATACATACATACATACATACATACATACATACATACATACATACATACATACATACATACATACATACATACATACATACATACATACATACATACATACATACAGACAGACAGACAGACAGACAGACAGACAGACAGACAGACAGACAGACAGACAGACAGACAGACAGACAGACAGACAGACAGACATACAGACAGACAGACAGACAGACAGACAGACAGACAGACAGACAGACAGACAGACAGACAGGCAGACAGGCAGGCAGACAGGCAGGCAGACAGACAGACAGACAGACAGACAGACAGACAGACAGACAGACAGACAGACAGACAGACAGACAGACAGACAGACAGACAGACATCTAAAAATCCCTTTTCTTCTCCTGTGGGTACCAATTGCAGCTACCGTTAAAGTACTTAACGAGCTAATATGGCTGTTTTCTTGGATATGCAGAAGTTTTTCTGAGAGCAACATAGCCCGGATATTAGTTCAGTTAATCTGGTGGAGGGGATGTGTTGAGAGAAAAATTCCTACTCATCATAAAATCATCATTTACCCACTTCCTGTTTTAAGACAAAAATAGCCTTCGACAGAAAAATGAAAAGTTTTGAAGAAAGGTGCTATCTCGGTTCAAGCTCTTCCAAAGAATGAATCAATCAATTAATCACTGAACAATTGGATGAATAGATGAACGGATGAATGAATCAATGTATCTATGTATGAAGTATGAAAGAATGAATGAATGTTAGTATACATCAACAGAAGCGGGAAAACGTCAAATGGAGAAAGGAACTATCCCAGTTCAAGATCTTTCAATAAATGAATGAATGTATCAATGAATCGCTGAACAATTGGATAAATGGATGAATGAATGAGTCAATCACTAAACAATTGGAGAAATAGCGAATGAATCAATGAATGTTACTGAATCCTTTAGAAAAAGCGGAAAAAGTCAAATGGAGGAATGTGCTTTCCCAGTTTATTATCTTCCAATGAATGAATCAATCAATCAATCACTGAATTATTGGATAAATGGATAAATGAATGAATGAATGAGTAAATGAATGAATCAGTTAATGGTATTGTATCCTTCAACAGAAGAGGGAAAACGTCAAATGGAGGAAGGTGTTATACCAGTTCAAGATCTTCCAATGAATGATTGAATCAATCACTGAGCAATTGGAGAAATGGATGAATGAATCAATGAATCATTGAATGAATTAATCAATGTTATTGTATCCTTCAACAGAAGCGGAAAAACGTCAACTGGAGGAAAGTGCTATCCCAGTTCAAGATCTTCCAGAACCGGTTGGTCCTGGTCAACATGAGATCCTACACAGACGGGTTCCTCAACATGGCCTTTCGGGGAAAGTATCCCCAGGAGCTGGAACAGGCCGAACAGCAAGTGGTCCTCCAAAGGATCCAGACGGCCCAGGAGCATGCAGACGAGTACGTGCAGCGAGTGATTCTGGAGACAGAGACCCTTCAGGTGAGGCACGTCTAGTGCTTCGTATCCGTACATGTGGGTGCGGCAGGTAGACTGTGCAAAAGCAGCATATTGTGGATTTTATATCCAGGATATTAAAGTGTGGAAGGTAACTAACAGGAGGTTTATTACAAGCTGCCGCTCTTCTGGGCTGTGAGCTACATTATGATAAAGAGGACTTGATGAAGGCTGCCTGGGAGGATGAGATAGTGCAGCGGAAGAGATAGGTAATCCATACACTGAAAGGTTAATTCAACCGGGGTGGGAGAGGCGAGAGGTGGAGGGGGGTTGAATGGAGGGTATGGAACTTCACCTTAGGGAGAAACAAAGGCGGATTTTTAATCCACATTCAAATGGTGCTACTTGCATGTCAACTCTTCATAGGCTACTGAAGAAGGAAACAGAGCATGAGCGGGGATGTCTGGAATCCAGGAATGTCTATCATTATTCGCTCATCCCTTGCCCGGCTCTCTAGCGAAGTTGGTTAAACCTGACTTTCGCGGCGGCCGGGTGACGAACTCCTTGTGGTCCGGGTTCACTCCCGGGGGTAGGCAGAAAAGCCACATTTCTCCCAGATTAATGGTACCTATAATGGAATCAATGCCGAAGGGTTGCGATATCCATAGTACCGAGCCAAAGGGTTTACAACTCATGGTTTCTGGATACGTTAAAAAAAAAAAATTCGCTCATCCCTTCACTGACTGTTGAGAAGGTCGCTATCTAATTTAGTCATTCTTGTGTCAGCGAAAAGCATACACAATGATCATCGCAATCTTCCATGTGAAGAGTTAAAACAACCCAAGTCTTAGTTGGACCACCAGCACGCACTAGCATTAAATGCATCGGGCAGTCGCCAGCGCGTCTACGCTTACTGTCCTCAATAAAGCTCGCAGACACCCGTTGTCTAAAGAATATTTTAGAATTTTTACTGCAGTTTTGTTGCTACAAATAAATTTTGACCTACCTATGCGAAAAGATATGTTAGTCATGTTAATTCAGCTCATACTCTATCACACATTTATGTCCACAAACGCCCACAGTAACTGACCACATACCCACACTAACTGCTCACACACCAACACTAACTGCTCGGACACACTTACACTAACTGTCCACACACCCACACTAACTGCCCAGACACCCACACTAACTGCTCACACACCCACACTAACTGTCCCATACCCACACTAACTGTCCCATACCCACACTAACTGCCCACACACCAACACTAACTGCCCACACACCAACACTAACTGCTCGGACACACTTACACTAACTGTCCACACACCCACACTAACTGCCAAGACACCCACACTAACTGCTCACACACACACATACACACTAACTGCTCACACACACACACACACACACTAACTGCCCATACAACCACACTAACTGCTCATACACACACACACACACTAACTGCTTTCACACACACACTAACTGCCCCCACACCCACACTAAGTGCTTACACACACACACACACATTAACTGCCCACACACCTCCACTGTCCACACACCCACACTAACTGCCCACACTAACTGTCCACACACCCACACTAAGTGTCGATATCCCCACACTAACTGTCCGCACATCCCCACATTACCTGTCCGCACATCCCCACACTAACTGTCCGCACATCCCCACACTAACTGCCCGCACATCCCCACACTAACTGTCCGCACATCCCCACACTAACTGTCCGCACATCCCCACACTAACTGTCCGCACATCCCTGAGCTAACGTATCTGATACACTGACAGGACAGTGATGCAGCCAGGAACCTAGCGGAAGACATCCAACGGAACATCTTACAGTGGATGCTGGAGTGCCGTGCGGTTACCGGCACCTTCCCAGAGTACCCTGCTGTAGACCTTGGTGGCGCAGCAGCCATATTTTCCCACAAAACTCTGGAGGAGGTTGGTGTTAACAGGTGTTCATATGCTTTACACCAGTCGCCTAGCTTTAAACTCTCTGCAACATGTTTTATTTAAGCTCTTTAAGCTCTCTGTAACATGTTTTATTTAAGCTCTCTGTACCATGTTATATTCAAACTCTCTGTAACATGTTCTATTTCATATCTCTCATCTCACTGTAACATGTTCTATTTCATATCTCTCATCTCACTGTAACATGTTCTATTTCATCTCTCTCATTTCTTTGTAACATGTTCTATTTCATCTCTCTCATCTATTTGAAACATGTTCTGTTTCATCTCTCTCATTTCTCTGTTACATGTTGTTTCATCTCTCTAATCTCTTTGTAACATGTTCTGTTTCATTTCTCTCATCTCTTAGTAACATGTTCTGTTTCATCTCTCTCATCTCTTTGTAACATTTTCTGTTTCATCTCTCTCATCTCTTTGTGACATGTTCTATTTCATCTCTCTCATCTCTTTGTAACATGTTCTGTTTCATCTCTCTCATCTCTTTGTAACATGTTCTATTTCATCTCTCTCATCTCTTTGTAACATGTTCTGTTTCATCTCTCTCATCTCTTTGTAACATGTTCTATTTTATCTCTCTCATCTCTTTGTAACATGTTCTGTTTCATCTCTCTCATCTCTTTGTAACATGTTCTATTTCATCTCTCTCATCTCTTTGTAACATGTTCTATTTCATCTCTCTCATCTCTTTGTAACATGTTCTATTTCATCTCTCTCATCTCTTTGTAACATGTTCTATTTCATCTCTCTCATCTCTTTGTAACATGTTCTATTTTATCTCTCTCATCTCTTTGTAACATGTTCTATTTCATCTCTCTCATCTCTCTGTAACATGTTCTGTTTCATCTCTCTCATCTCTTTGTAACATGTTCTGTTTCATCTCTCTCATCTCTTTGTAACATGTTCTGTTTCATCTCTCTCATCTCTCTGTAACATGTTCTGTTTCATCTCTCTCATCTCTCTGTAACATGTTGTTTCATCTCTCTCATCTCTCTGTAAACTGTTCTATTTCATCTCTCTCATCTCTTTGTAACATGTTCTATTTCATCTCTCTCATCTCTCTGTAACATGTTCTGTTTCATCTCTCTCATCTCTTTGTAACATGTTCTGTTTCATCTCTCTCATCTCTTTGTAACATGTTCTGTTTCATCTCTCTCATCTCTCTGTAACATGTTCTGTTTCATCTCTCTCATCTCTCTGTAACTTGTTGTTTCATCTCTCTCATCTCTTTGTAACATGTTCTATTTAATCTCTCTCATCTCTTTGTAACATGTTCTATTTCATCTCTCTCATCTCTCTGTAAACTGTTCTATTTCATCTCTCTCATCTCTTTGTAACATGTTCTATTTCATCTCTCTCATCTCTTTGTAACATGTTCTATTTCATCTCTCTCATCTCTCTGTAAACTGTTCTATTTCATCTCTCTCATCTCTGTATAACATGTTCTATTTTATATCTCTCATCTCTTTGTAACATGTTCTATTTGATCTCTCAACTCTCTGTAACATGTTCTATTTTATCTCTCTCATCTCTTTGTAACATGTTCTATTTTATCTCTCTCATCTCTTTGTAACATGTTCTGTTTCATCTCTCTCATCTCTTTGTAACATGTTCTGTTTCATCTCTCTCATCTCTTTGTAACATGTTCTATTTCATCTCTCTCATCTCTTTGTAACATGTTCTGTTTCATCTCTCTCATCTCTTTGTAACATGTTCTATTTCTTCTCTCTGTAACATGTTCTATTTTATCTCTCTGTAACATTTTATATTTCAATTCTCTCATCTCTCTGTAACATGTTCTATTTGATCTCTCAACTCTCTGTAACATGTTCTATTTGATCTCTCAACTCTCTGTAACATGTTCTCTGTTCTGTACAACCGTTTTAGTGGCTTTTGCCGTTCCCTGCCTCACGGGCAGATGTACTCCGACTTGGGGGAAAATTTCTCTAGTATATGTTAATTTCATATCTATAACATATTCTATGTCGTCATTCTACTATTACGCTTAGAGTTTAAAGGACGTTGCAAGCCAACGCCAGCAATTGATAGATGTTTGCTTTCGAGACAATACCATATTGCTAGGGGCTGCGTTTTCTTGAGGCATGGTGTCCGCCTCGAGTACTAGAGGATCCGGGTTCGATTCCCGGTAAGGGCTGGGATTTTTATGTGAACTAGGACTTCTAGTAATTCTCCCTGGTCTTTGTGTATTGAGGTCAGACGCCCGTGTGCATTGTTGCACACGTAAGAAATAATCCCTTGGCAGTTGGAAATCGGGCACAATTTTGGAGTTAAAAATCAACCCAAAGTATTTTAGGATCCTCGCCGGTGTTACAGAGCCTCTGCACGGAGCTGAGCTTCTTCCTACTCCGACTTGAGTTAGAAAAAAATAAACGGAGCACTTATGGCCTAAACCCGTGTGCCATGATGTTGATCCGTTATTCAAAACCTCAAACTATCATATTACTCTCCATACGAATACTGACATCAGCATAACGGTCTGCTGCCAAATCGCCCGCAGCTTTAATACGAACCGGGTGTCTTCGAACTACAAAGCTCGTTGGTAACGCCACAGACCTTAGCATGTTTAATTTCGTTTCTGGCCAGGTCGCCGATGAACTAGATTTCGGTGTCGACGAGAAGGCCAGAGCTAAAGCCAAAGGAAAAGCCAAAGAAAGAAAGCCTGGTAAAAAAGAGCTTCCCGAGGGCTTCACCATGAGGACTTCAAACTTCTTAGATGACGTCCTCGTGGATGTTAGCATCGAGTACGACGCCTACTGGAAGTTTCGAGACGAGAGCAGCAACTTCAAGCAGGACTTCTCCCTGAACCTGCTCACACAGCGGGTCCATGAAAACCTCGAGGACATCCTTCGAGAGCAGGTGAGTGTCTGGCCTTGACCTTATGTCTCATCCCGGAAGTGAAGTGAGGGGATTGCGTGGTCTGGTGTGCTAGCTCATGTGTCATGTCCTTGACCTTATGTCTCCTCCCGGAAGTGACGTTAGGGATTGTGTGGTCTGGTGTGTTAGCTCATGTGTCATGTCCTTGACCTTACGTCTCCTCCCGGAAGTGGAGTTAGTGATTGTGTGGTCTCGTGTGTTAGCTCAAATGTCATGTCCTTGACCTTATGTGTCCTCCCGGAAGTCGAGTTAGTGATTGTGTGGTCTCGTGTGTTAGCTCATGTGTCATGTCCTTGACCTTATGTCTCATCCCGGAAGTGAAGTGAGGGATTGTGTGGTCTGGTGTGTTAGCTCATGTGTCATGTCATTGACCTTATGTCTCATCCCGGAAGTGACGTGAGGGATTGTGTGGTCTGGTGTGTTAGCTCATGTGTCATGTCATTGACCTTATGTCTCATCCTGGAAGTGAAGTGAGGGATTGTGTGGTCTGGTGTGTTGGCTCGTTTTTCATGTCCTTGACCTTATGTCTCATCCCGGACGTGAAGTGAGGGATTGTGTGGTCTGGTGTGTTAGCTCATGTGTCATGTCCTTGACCTTATGTCTCATCCCGGAAGTGAAGTGAGGGATTGTGTGGTCTGGTGTGTTAGCTCATGTGTCGTGTCATTGACCTTATGTCTCATCCCGGATGTGACGTGAGGGATTGTGTGGTCTGATGTGTTAGCTCATGTGTCATGTCCTTGACCTGATGTCTCCTCCCAAGAGTGACGTGAGGGATTGTGTGGTCTGGTGTGTTAGCTCATGTGTCATGTCCTTGACCTTATGTCTCCTCCCGGAAGTGGAGTTAGTTTTTCTGTGGTCTGGTGTGTTAGCTCATGTGTCATGTCCTTGACCTTATGTCTCTTTAGTGCACACACACAAAAAAACAGACAATGTCCCGGAATACCCAGATACAGACTCGAATTGGCTCATGAAATTAAGTCAGCCGCCTGAATATACCCAGACATTGGAAAAGGGAATTGAGATGCATAGAGAACACTGAGACAAAGCAGATTACCCCCATCCCGACACTTTCCCTTTCTAGTCATACTGCTAGGTTTGTAGGTTGCTGGAAAGACAGAATCAAGTTGTCTTCAAAACTGCTCACCTCTCTGTTAGCGGCCGTAAGTGAATGACGGCAGTTCCGAGTACCACCTGGATTTCCGTTTGTAGCCAGGTTTTTGCCACAGAGCTGCTGAATTTGATAGTAGCATTTCTATACGCGAAAGCGATAGGCTCTGGCATGACGGGAAATTGCAAACTAGCCAAACTGGGAATTTCGCAAACAGCAACCGTATACACATAGAGATATTCCTCTATGTCATCTCTGGCGAAAATGACGTCACTGTTGCGATACCATCTATAACACTATGCCATTCACGTATCTATCTCTTTGCCCTCCCCTCGCTGTCTTTCCATCAGTTCTGCCAGTCATTAAATGGTTTTCGAGTCCCTTCATTTTGACAACATGTCATAACACCCACTGCCAACGTTTAGTTTCTCTAACGAGTTCAGGGCTTTGATCTTGAGGATTCTCCTGTCTATTGTTCTAACACACCATGCTATTGTTCTAACACTCCATGCTATTGTTCTAACACTCCATGCCATTGTTCTAACACTCCATGCTATTGTTCTAACACTCCATGCTATTGTTCTAACACTCCATGCTATTGTTCTAACACTCCATGCTATTGTTCTAACACACCATGCTATTGTTCTAACACACCATGCTATTGTTCTAACACTCCATGCTATTGTTCTAACACACCATGCTATTGTTCTAACACTCCATGCTATTGTTCTAACACTCCATGCTATTGTTCTAACACTCCATGCTATTGTTCTAACACTCCATGCCATTGTTCTAACACTCCATGCCATTGTTCTAACACACCATGCTATTGTTCTAACACTCCATGCTATTGTTCTAACTAGGGCTGTGCGGAATAGTGATTCTCACTACTCGTCCGAATACGAAAAGCTCGATCAACTATTCGTCCGAATTCGAATACGAATAGTGAATCATCATTATCAGGTGCTTTGCCGACTGCCATGGGCCATTATGCCTCGCCACAATCTGCGATCTCCTGCAGCATGTATTAGTTCGTGTCCTGACACACCTCCATGCCATGCAACAATACTGTCAAGAAAAATCTCTCGTTGCCTATCTCTATCCCTCCTTTCACATATCTTTCTAGTGGTCACCACATGTTCCATTTTCCCTCATCTTATAAAATGGCCGAAAAATGATGACTGTCTCCTTCTGATGTCTGTGAATAGTTAGTTGTCTTCGGGCTCCCGCATCTTTTAAATCCTCTTGGCTGCTGTTTTTTTTTTTCTTTTTCTGTCCAATGTATTTTAAGCATTCTTCTGTAAAACCACATCTCTGAGGCCTCAAACAATTGTTTGGCCTGCCTACCAATTGTCCAGGATTCACAGCCATATGTTAAAACTGGATGTATATAGCAAGCAAGAATTCTTTTTCTAACTCTCAATGACAAAGATATATTGCACAAGATGTTTTTCATTTTATAAAATGCAGTTTTTGCCTGTCCTATTCTGTTTCTTTTTTCAGTAATGCATCTTCCATCTGATGTTATCCATGTGATGGGTACATTGACTTTATTACACATTTAGAAAAAATTATTTTCTTTGATACCACCATTACTTCCGTCTTCCCACTATTCAAACAGAGGCCCATTCTTCCACTTTCGAATAGTGTATAAAATAGATCTAAAAAAAAAAAAAAAAAAATAAACACATCCATAATGTCAAATCTACGCTGAAATTTTACTTCACAAAATGTAGTACAGAGTAGTAAACATTTAAAAACACTTCATGTTTTGCACCCTTCAGTCAGTCAAGCCGTGGTAACTAATATATAGGAATTAAACTATTCCTAGTTTTATAACAAGTAACTAAACTTGTAAATTGTCACTGACAACTTAGTTAATCCATGAAAGCGGCATAAGCTTTCAAAAAATTAAAACCAATCTTTCCATGTTGTCAGCGTTAAGGCAGCTTCTTGTCTCACTGAATGTATTTCCAGCTGTTCACTTGGTACGCTCGTAGGTGGTGCACAAAGATAACGCTTGACAGTATGAACCAAGGTGGGAAATCTTGACATGTTTATTTTCCACCAGTCCAGAAACGGGTGTAAGGTAACCACTATTCGTATTCGGCCCGACCGCAACTATTCGGCCGAATACCGAATATTTATTAGATCCACTATTCGGCCCCGAAGCGAATATTCGATACAGCCCTAGTTCTAATACTCCATGCTTTTGTTCTAACACTCCATGCTATTCTTTCATTTTAAATAAAAAAGTTCTTTAAAGAACCAAACGTCATTTCTGTTCTGTGGTCTGCAG